CCTCCACACCAAGGGCTTGGCGCGTACTTCAGCTGCCGGCCGCCCCAAAGCCACGCGCTCCACGTGCAAAGCCTTCCCGAAGCCCGCTTCAGACGGCCACCACATGAAAAACGTTTGAAGCGCTCCTCTCCCCACAGAGAGCCTGGACTCCACGGGACCCGAAGTCCCTCCATCACCCAGCCGGAAGGGGCCCTGGTCCCTTGCAGCCACAGTCTATAGGACCTTTAGGACTGAATTAAACTCAGCAATTTCTGTTCAGAAAGGCCAAGCACAAAAAAAAAAAAAAAAAAAACAAGCAAAACAAGGAGGGTGGGCCATGGCGTTAGCAGGCGGAGCGCGAGGGGTGCAGCACCAGTCTCCGAAGCCTTTTGGCCACCCTTTCCCGTGGTATTTTTGCAGGGACCTTATTTTTGCCCCCTGTGCTTGGCGCGGTGCTGGGATGGAGGCCGATTGCCAGCTTGACTCCCTCCACGGGTGCACGTGTACGTGTTTCGTGGTCCACCCGGTCGCAGGCGCTCCCGCCTTCCCCCTCCAGCCTGGCCCTTTAAGTAACTTGAGCCTCCGGGCTGGAAATCTCAGTCTCTAACTCAAAAGAGGAGGGAAGGCTGCTGCTTTTCCATTCATCGCCTTCTGGGTCATTTCTTTTAGGAGCAACAACTTCTTCCGCTTTCCCTTCTGATGGGGAGGGGGTGGGTAGGGGGGAAACGATGGTTTGCTAAGGGACAGAGCTACTTTCTGAGCAGCCCCCTCCCACACCGAGGCAGATCCAGCCGGCCGCGCTGCTGCATTTTCTCCACCCAGAAACGCTCCTAGCAGCTCTTTTTTGCAACTTTCCCCCTTACCAATCTTTGGCATAAATCAGCCAATTCCCCAACTTTCTGTGGCTGCAGGGGGCTGGTGCAAAGGATTAATTATTTGCTTTTCCCGGGGTGCGTAATGCAGGCACAGGGAGAAGGTCGGGCTCAGTCACCTGACGCTGCAAATCTTGCCCACTTTTTTGCATAGTCCCTCTCCCACCCGCTTCCGTCCCCATCTCCCGCTCTCTGCCCAGCTCCCAGATCCCACCATGAACCTGCAGGCGGTTTCGGGATACATTTGCCTGCTTTGCTTTTCCTTCGGGAGCACGGCGCAAGGTAAGAGTCTTTGCACTTTGGTTCCGGCAGCGGCCCGGGCTGCGGAGCGTGGCCGGCTGCCCCGGGACGCCCGCGGGATGCTCATCCCCTGCACGAGCAGCTCACAGGCTGCTCCGCAAGGGAAGCGCAGGGAAACAAGGCTGGGGAAACGCTCTGGCTTCTGGGCAGCAGGGAAGAGTTATTGCCGCGGCTGGTACGGCCGGCCCGTCCACGCTTCTTCCCAGCTGAAGGAGGACGAGTCGGGGTAATTGCGTTTTCAGGACCATGCAAATCCTCTCGGGGGTGGGGGGGGTGGGGGGAGGTGAGCAAAGCTGGGGCTTTCGTAGCGTAGGAAAAATTCCAAATTACAGAGGAAAACCCAAGGGAGCCTCCTGGATTTTCATTTATTCCTGACTGCATCATACGTGGATTTTTTCCCTTCCTGGAGAACGTGATAATTTTTCAGAGGGATTTTAAAGCCTAGTGTGTCAGTTATCCTAAAAGTAGCTGCACTCTAAACCATTTCAAAAACCCAGAAAGTGCATCAGATCGGGAGGAGTATTTCACGTGACTTCAGAAAACAGCAAACTCCCCAAGCCATTTTGCATATGAACAAGGCAAGTCACTGCAAATAATTCTAGGCAAGTAAGAGTGAAGCAAATAGGGATTTTGATATAAAGCTGCCCGAGTGACTTCATTTAGCCATATCACAAGGCCAGCGATTTAATTAAGGGTGAGCAGTTCCGATAGAGCTACTCTTCAAGTGGGGGAGGAAAACAAGAGGGAAAAGGTACGACCTGAATAGGACCTCTCATTTCTCTTAGCTAAAAACACTAGTGTTGTCCCTGTTGAAGCAGAACACTGAAAGACCCTTCAAAACAACTTTCCCAGCCATAGGCATGCTCAGGAGACTGTGCTTCAGCATTGAAACGTATTTCACTGGCACTTTCAAGAAGTCCCCAAGCGGGGCACCCACTCTGAACATCCTTTCTAAGGCAAGCCTGGAAACTTACCCAGGAGTCAACTGCCACCCTGCAAACACCCAACTATCCCCTAGCCTGCATATGTTAGAGGTGGGTGTTGTCTGGAAGAAGTATTTGTCCACTGTAACCTGCCAGAGGAGCACAACTGTTCCCAACATGAGTAAAATCAAAACCAAACTGCAGGCACAAATATTTTTCCAGGAAAAATCTTCTCATAGCCTTTAAAGTCAGTTCTACCCAGGGCTTGGTGAAAAAATGGTGCTTTCAGATGGCAAAACAATGCAGTTTGCAAGTATTTCTGGAAGCCCGAGTCCTCTCTAGCGTGGGAGCACGCCCGCTGCAGCAAGCAGGGGGACGGAGAACCATGGACATACGCAAGGACCTTCAGCGCTTGTCTCTTTCTCTAGGGAATCTGCAGCCAATTTCGTTCCAGCCCGGGATCCTGTATCAATACCACTACACCCTGGATGTCCAGCTGGATTATGTGTCCCAGCTGTCCCTGCAGGGAAGCTGGCTGAAGGCTGAAGCTTTGGTTCAGGTGCACCGACTCTGGAGGCATCAAGCAGGGGAAGAGCTTCTCCAGGTGCAGGTATGCAAGGCTGCTGAAGGGTTATTCGTGTTTCTCATAGCAGACCTTGGTTTTTTTTTTTTTTTTTTTTTTTTAAAAAGTGAATGGTAAATCCATTGCAGCTTGATACTCCTCGTATGAGGAGTGGGGGTTTTATTGCCTTAGCCCCTTCCATTTTGAACCCAAGTGATATGAACAATGACCTCAGCGACAAAGAGCATTGCCTGCAGGTTAAATGCACAGAGGCTATGGGGAACCTGGGAGCAGATGTCTTGTCATTGCTTTCTTCTCTCTTCCACCACCATAGATCCAAGACCTAAAAGCCCAGCATGCACCGGAGCATAAGACGAGTCACAATGGTGCTGGAGACCCATTTGTGGAGATTGCACTGAGCCAGGAGACCCAAGCCGAGCTTCAGCAGCCGGTTTTCATCTCCTGGAACAGTGGGAAGGTGAGCTGGAAGCATCCTGCACCCACCTGTGTCCCCCATGAACTAATCAGAGTGGCAAATACAAGAACTTATGGTCTCCCACAGAGCCTGGTGTGCCTCCAGATGCTCCAAGCTGGGACAGTGCTTCAGACTCAGAAGCAGCTCCAACACGCCTTTTTTAGCAATGCCTAGGCCTTTCTTGGCCTTGGGAGCTCCTTTCTGACCTTCATCTCTCCTAAGGTTTGGGAAAAATCAGGAAAGCTTTGCTGAAAAGAATAGAGTTGCCAGCAGAAATCCACAAAGTCAAGGCTGGGCTATTCAGGGATGTAGTCTTTCTTGTAAAATCTCCAGGTATCCGCAGGGTATCTGGAATCACTTAAGTTGCAGGGGAAGACCCCTTCGAGCAGAGAAAGCCTGCTGGGCATCAACAGGGCTGCCCCACAGCCAGTCACCAGTTTTATCCTTCTAGGTCAAAGCCTTCTACGGAAACGAAGCAGAAAGTCCCCTGATCTCTAATCTGAAACGAGGCCTCATCAGTCTGCTCCAGGTCCAGCCCCATCCTGGCACAGCAGTGGAGGTAGGTGCCGAGCTGGGGTTAGTTCAGCAGGCAAATCTTGCAGGAAAGACGGGCCCGGAAACCTTGCCGCTGCAGTAAAACCAGCCCTGAAGCAGAGCCAGCCCAAGCTTCTCAGCAGAGAGGTAAAATTGAGGATAAACACAGCTGGGTTTGCTGCTCCGCTTGCCCCTGGGGTGTGAGCGAGGATGACTGTTGGAAAGGACGCACCAGGGCAGGGGGTGCTGTGCAAACACCCTCACTGCTCCTGCCAGACAGCGTTTATGAGTGAGGGAAATCCCTCACTTGAGAGCTGAGCTATTCAGAAGTGAATTTTGAGCAAAACTAAACACTCGCGGGACTGTAGGCTCAGAAGTCCAGGCACAAAGGTGCTGCTGCTGCTAGCCTGAAAACGCAAAGAGGGTAACGTCCTTCCCAAATGGATTTTAAGATATCAAACACCCTGTTGGGGCATTACTTGATTTACAGATGCAATCTGATGCTGTGGCCATGTTAGCAGCTCTGCACAGATAACTGGACACGGGCTTCAAACTTCATGGCCTTGGGACCAAGTCTGCAAAATACAGCCCCGTTCCTAGCTTCTGGATGATTTTTGTATTCATTGGGTTTGTCTTTTACTGTGTCTGCTGTCTACACAGATCATCATCTTCAGGCTTTCACAAGGTGTGATGACAGCTGACTGCCATTCACCACTATTTCTTACATTTAATTGTGTTTCAGGAGGATGTTTCCGGGAGCTGCCAAGTCACATACGCCGTTTCCAACGATTCAGCCATAAAGACAAAAGATCTCCTTAGGTGCACAACGCCGCAATTTGGATTTGCCTCCGTAAACAAAGCAAGTCCATTGCTCTCGTGGTGGGGGCAGGTCTCAACTCGTGACTCTGTCAAATATACTGTGGTCTTCCTCAAATCTTACTACAGGTGGTCTTTGACTCCCCAGCCTGAGTGACCCACTTATAGCTGGGAGCAGTCTTCTGCACCAGTCTGCAATGGGTCTTCAGACCAGCTGCCTTTCAGCTCCCTCCCCCTATGCAGGCCCAGGTGCTCTGATAACATCCCCTGGAGTTATCAGCCCTCTCCACATCAGGGCTGTAAGATGAAGCAGAGGCAAGGGGTGAAGTCCAGCATGTGCATCGTTTCTTTTAGAAGGAATAAAAAAAGAAGCAGAGAGCTTCCCCAAGGTCACTGCACAGCATAGCAAAGAAGCCGGGCATTTTTGGCATAAGTTCACCGGTGATTATTTTTGCTTAGCTTTCTCTTTTGCTTGGAGAAAGTCCTTGCAAACGTTCATCAGGACAAGGCAGGTTTCTTTCAGGGTGCTACCTCCTCCCACACAAGACACTTGTGTTGGGGCACCTACATCGCTAGTGCTGTCAAATGGACCCAAAGGAAGGGCAATGCCTTGCGAGGAACTTATTTCCAGTTTGCGCAGCCTCCGGCCACCACTCACGCCAAGCAAGGGGCATCCCCTCCCTTCGGGCAGGCCCTCCTGGCTCTGCTTCCCCTGTTGTCTCCTGTAGCTGAGCTGGCGACGCGATGAAGTAAGTGTAATAAAAGAGAGCATCCACACGGTGTCACCAGTCTTCCTCCACATGTCAGCCAGGGCACCAGAGCATCTGTGCAGTGGTCCTCACCAGGGCTACCGTCTCCCAGGCCTGCAAAGAGACTGGGTCCTTCCCGATTTTCCCTTCTTACCCTCGAAGATCAAGAGGGAGACAGGAAGTGAAAGAGGTTGAAGGGTTTTTTTTTCCCTTTTTTAAGATTTTTGGAGTCCAGTGGCAACCCACCAGCAAAAGTCTCTACTTGGTGAAAGACAGCCTCATCCGATCAGTGCTCGCAGAGGAAAGCCACGTGGTGTCTCTGAGCCTGAGGTCCACCACTGGTATCAAAATCAATTCAAGGTGAGCAATGGCTCTGTGCAGCTGCCTAAATTGGCCAGCCTAGCACAGGATGACCTTCCATCTGTTGAAGTTGGAAGCTGTTCATTGCTTTCATGCCAGCTCAGTTAGCATAGCCTGATGCAGGCAGCGAGGAGATGCAGTGGTCCAACAGCTGGGAGCACAGACATCAGCTTAGTGGCAGGACACATTTCAGTGCTTTCCCCCCCACAGCTGGCTGTTTCCCCACCTCCTGGCCCATGGGATCCATCCCTTGAACCATAAGTTTCGTCTGGAGAGAGGAGCTGCCAGGGGATGTGCTACTCATGGGAGCATGCCAGCACAGTGGGGATTGAGAGAGGCCCAGAGGCCCTTGGGGTAGAGATTAGAGGCCCACAGCTTTGGTTGAGTGAGCAGTCATCAGCCTGGGGTGAAAAAGGGCAGCAGGACACCTCTGCAAATCTGTCTCTGAGAGCTTCCCTTTCTCTTCCTGTGTGCCTCAGCCTCTCCAAAAATATCTCATCTCCCTCTCTATCCCTTCCTTCTCCAAACCTGCACAAACCCAACCAGCCTCAGAGCAAAGGAGGGTGCAAACGATGTTCCCATTTTCTTTTTCTCCCCTCCACAGGCAACAGCTCGAGCTAGTGTCTTCTTCGATGCCTGGCCCAGCAGAGGTGCCCGGACAAGGCCTTGAGGAAGCGCTGGCTAGCACAGAGCAAGAGCGTCAGCCCCTGGGCATGGCCTGCCTGCACTACCAGAGGGTCTGCACCCACTGCCCTTCGGTCAGTGCCACCAGACGCCCCCAAAACACACCTCATGTGCTCCTCTCCCAGCTGGGCACCCACACGCACATGGCACAGGCAGGAGATGGCTTCCAGGCTAGCTTCTTGCCTAGACTAGAAGGGAGAGCATCCCACCCATCTTAAGCCTGACCTGTTATTTCTCTCCTAAACAGCTGTGTCTAATGTTGTTACAAGCTGTGGAAAGGAGAGCTCTCTCCCCTCAGACATAGCTGTGTTTCTGTGATGGGAGAAGCAACCAGCTGCATGGCTGGCATGTCTAGTCAGGGTTAAACTCATCATAGGTCTGAGATTAGGAAATATGCCCACCACTCACCCACCCTGCAGGTCAGGTTGGCAAGGACAAACAAGGGGTTGTTTCTGCCTCCAAGCATTCTCCTTAGGAAATCTGGAATTGCAGTGCTTTACACACACTGGTGGTGCCCTCAGTTTCAAATCTGTAATATGCTTTTCAGCTCCTGTACAGCAAGACTTCAGTGGTGGGAGAGTGCAGCAGATGTTCTGTGGCCCCCTCCGTTTGCAGGCAATTGCATGGCCTGAATTCAGTGTCCCTATGGCTCCCTCCACTCCTAAGTATTTCCTTATTGTGATGTTGTCCCCTGTTTCAGGATCCTGGGAAACGAGGCTAAATTGCACGTGATGCCAGTAACAGAACAAACCTTACCCTTGCAGCTCAGAACCTATCTGAAGACTTTTGACAGCCAGAAAGTCAAAATGGACATCGCTGAGGTGTCAACAACATGGCAGTTCCAGAGGTTCGTCCAGATGCTGCACAGAGCAAAGAAGAGAGATATCCTGCAGCTGCTGAGGAAAGCTCCAGAGGAGATGGTGTAAGACCTCCAGTATCTATCTTGCCCCAAGTGGCTCTCTATAACAATAAACGGCATGCAGGACCCTGGGATGTAGGGTCACTTCTGGACATGCTGGTCCATAAACCATACCTAGCCCAGGCAGCTGGGCAGGAGTTTTCCCAGCTTATCCTCAGTGGTGCAAATAGACTCCTTTTCCCTCAGTGCCTGTTCTTTACAACCACCGTACAGCCTGTTTTCACCGAGCAGTAGGCTTTGGAGCAGAGCAACGGCTCCAGCAAGGCTTTGGGAAATACTGGCAAAGGCTTGGCCTTTGCAAGACATACAGCCCTGACCCTGTCATCCGTCCCCTGCCAGGGCCAGGCTCCTGGCTGCAGCAAAATGCTAGATGCAACCGAGTTCAGAGCAGAGTTCACAGTTGTAATACGCACAGATAATGCCAGCTCAGTGGCCAGTGCCGATGAGCTCGTCTTTGAGGAAAGTCATCTGCAAAAGTCCCAACCTGTTAGATTTTTTAAATCTGGGAATTGAAACTTCAGGGTGTTTTTCAGTAGGGAAAAGCAAATGAAACTGGGATTATCTGTAGCAGCTTTAGAATGGTTGGGAGTCACATTCAGCCCCAGTGGCAGTGCATGCAATCCCAGCACCCCTCAGAGGACTCAGCCTTTGCTCCTTGCCTTGGCCTGGAGAGGAGGAGCCAAGGTCCTCTGCCAGGGCCAAGGTCACAGATCCCAGCAGCGTCGCACCGGGCACCTCATTTCTCCTCCGCCTCAGACTCCTCTGATGACCGCTTCCCCTCTCATTCCAGCCCCTTCTTCGTCGAGGCAGCGGTGGCCGCCCAGTCAGCAGCATCCTTGGCAGCTCTCTCCGACTTCCTGGATTTCGGCAAGGCTCCCAAGTCCCTGCTGGAGAAGTTTCTCTATGCAGCAGCTTTCTCTCCCCGGCCTTCTAGAGAGCTTCTCAGCCTGGTGTTAGTAAGTAGAGGCATTTCTCTCTCCCCCTTAGGGTCCCGGATGCTGAATGGTTTTAACTGGACACCAGCGATGGGAGTAAATGCATTCAGCAGAAAGTCCTTTATGTCAGTTTATTACAGATAATAAAAGCTTAATTACCTACTGTGAAAGCTGGCATTTATCTGATTAGACCATGCATTGCCCCCTTCAAGGCTGGTAAGAGTTAGTCTTTCACTTTTTTAGTAAACACTTTGAGATAACAGCTAAGGCATACCCCTTCTGTCTCTTTTTTGCCATTTTCCTTGTTTTTCTTAACCCACTTCTCCTCCTCTCAGGACAAGCTCCAAGGGAAGCGGCTGGCACCAGAGATCTGGGAGACGGGGATAGTTGTCATAGGCTCTCTCGTCAGCAAGTTGTGCCAGCAGAAGCTGTGTGGATCACAGGTGGGTTCCCTGACAAACCTCCACGCTTGGTTTTTTCAGCCTTGCCATCCTTGCCCTTCCTCTGCAGCTGCCTGAAACATATTCCACACATCATCCTCATCCTCTCCCTCTCCCCTCCTGCAAAAACCAAACCAGGAGGTGGAGCGTGGAGTGGAAACCATCCTGCAGGGACTAGGAGGCGCCAAGGAGGAGTCCGAGCTGGTTATCTACCTGGTGTCCCTGAGGAACGCTTTGCTGCCCGAAACCATCCCCACCCTCCTGCGTTATGCCGAGGAAGGCCCTGCTGCGGTTGCGGCTGCAGCAGTCGCTGCTCTGCAGAGGTTTCCCACGCAGCACATCTCCAGCAAGGTACGAAACGAAGCTTCCCGGTTGAAGCCGAGACACTAGGGCTGGGGATGCAAAGCAGAGCCCGAAAGCCTTGACCACCACTGTTTACACATCAGTGGGCATGACACCAGTTTTAATTGCATTCGCACAGCAGGTGAAGAGAGCAATGAGGAGGATTTTCCATGAGAAGAGGAAGAGCTATGAAAAAACATGTCGCCTGGCTGCTGCGGAAATCCTCTTAGACAACGAGCCTTTGCCCATGGATGTCATCAACATCCTCCTGGCCACTAAAGAGCTGGAAACAGAAACAGCAACGTTTCTGCAGCTGAAGGTCCAGAACAGTTTGCATGCTGACCACCACCCAGCAAGGTGGGTCAGGAAAGGAAAGTTGTAGATCAGCTGGGGAGGAAAAAAAAACTGCATCGTTTTTTTCTCCTCTTCTACACTCCAGCTGTGGCTTTGAACTGCATGCCCCTCATAGCTGGGTCAACATCTGAGCATGTGCTATCAGGGCTGCAACAGTGCCAGGGCTGCTTAGTAATTCCCAGCTGTGGGAGGAAGAAAACCACAGGGCTGCTATAGGCAGGTGTTGCCAAGCGAGCCCAAACCCCGCATCCCTCCTCCCCCAGTCCCACGGCACAGCAGCACCAGGGCTCGTTGCTTTCCTTGGAGGCCAAAGCTCTGGCTTACAGGACAGCGCACAATTTGTAACTGCCTTAATCTTTCTGTGTGCACAAAACAAACCAAGCACAAAAGTTTCCGAGCTAGGCAGAAGCTGCACAAAAACATTTGAATGGTTTATTCTGATAAACCAGAGGAGAGGGAAATTCCAGCGTGGTCCTAGTCTGCTCATTTCCTTTTTGCTCATGTTTGTCTGGGCAGTCAGAATTTCAAAGAAACATCTGTAGAAGTCAAGCCAGTTATACATATTCACATCTAGTGGGATTTACTAGACTTCCACCCTGTAGGCATTCACATAGTTGCTCTGAATGCTACTTTGAGGATCATTGCCTTGTAAAACAGAAACAAACAGTGCTCTATAAATTAGCGTGCCCTGTGACATGCTTGCTCCAGCTGAGCGGCATAAAAAGCTGGGGGAGTTGCTTATTTTTCCTGCAGTTTTTAAATTCGTGTTTCCTTCTTTTCTTTGTCCAGCTTTCTTTTTCAGCTATTGATTTGGCTTATCTTGAATTCTGACTGAGACTTCCCCTTCCTTCCTTTCCAGTCCTCATATTCCTTTTCCCTTTTGTTTCCAGGGGGGTAGTGAAGGATGTCATGAGAGACCCACGGATAAATAACTACAACTACTTCTCGAGAGCTGGTGCCTCCTCTGCCTTCTCAGGACCCCTGACAGGTGACGCTATGGTCGACGCTGTTCCCCTTCCCCCTCAAAGGGCTAAAGGAGGGGGCCCAATGGGTGCCTCTGGTTTATAAAAATTCCCCAAAACTTAGTCCGAGATTTATGAGCGTCTCCCACAAGCATCTTCTGAAGCCCAAGAGCAGGTATCACCCCTATACGTTCCTATCCGGTTGCCTTCTGTGCAGGGCTCGGGCCCTTGCCCTGCTCTCATACATATAGGCCTTCCTCCAGCTTCTTTGCAACCACCTGCTTTCCAAAGAACATGAGCTGGGCCACATACTTTTCCCAAATGCTGCTCATTTAGGGGAGGAATTTCATCTGAAGGTGAAACCAGTGGTAGAGCGTGGGAGGGAGTTTCTGTGCTTTTCCTGATAAGTCAGTTCTTTAGGTATTTTTAATAAGCGATTCAAAGAGGAAAATCCTTGGGCTGAGATAAAAATCATCAGACCTCAGAGACACTGTGGTTAATGCCTGCTAGATATCTGCTTAGATCACCTGTCAGCTCTCACTTCTAATCCTCTTCAAGTCATCTTCCTCTAGCTTTGTATTTGTAAAACTCTGTTGGGGGGGCGGGGAAACATGAAGGCAAAGCAACCAACACCCCTAAGAAAAGTAGGGCCATGCTAAATCCTCTGAGCATTGTAAGAATAGAAGAAGATGGTACAGAGAAACTTTTCCCTCTGAATATTTTAGCTTTGTCAGACATTCAATCACTAATGTATTCAGCCACCTCGACCACAAACCCAGGAGCTCTACAGGACTAGCAACACAACTTCTTAAGTAGGCTTAAAAATTACCAAGGAGCTCTCAGGACTCTGTTTTCAGGCATCCTCGGTGACCTCCCACTTTCCACAGTAAACCTGGAGAAGCTCTTCATAGAAACCTCACCTAGTCTGCCAAGCTCAGGCTCCATTGCACCAGGGGAAACACACTTGTCAGCCAGGTTGCCCATGGTCACGCTGGCATCTGCAGCTCTCTGCCAGTGCCTCCCCCAGCTGCTGGTGGGCTCTTTATTATCTAGTCAGTGTTGATCCCCTGCAGCTGCTAGCAGAGCAGTTGTGATTCATTCACAAAAAGCAGTGTGTCACATCCTGCTGCGGTGCAGGCCCATTCACAGGCACCTCTCTGTCTTCCAGTCACCCAGGACCTGCTTTCCACCTTTGGGCTGGAGCTGCTATTTACAGAGGGTGGATTCCTGAGAAAGAGCCTCTCCGACTTCTCGCTGCTCAGCCGTGGCCATCAGCTTCACGTGGCTCAGGTGTGCTCCCTGGAGAGTGGCCAGGTGCCAGCCACGCAAAGCAGTTCAACAAGCGTGGTATCTCAAGTAGTACTGACTCTCTAGCTTTGCTCTGTGCAGCTTACATGGCTCCATCTCTATGTTTTAGGTCACTATTGAAGCACAAGGGATGGAGTCTATGCTGGGAGAAAGCACCCTAGAAGGAGAAGAGGAGCCAGAGCTCATGGCTGGGATGTCTGCCACTTTCTTCGACGTTCAGTTGCGGCCGATTGTGTTCTTCCAGGGATATACGGACTTAATGGCCAAGGTCCTGTTAAGCAGCGGAGAACCCACAAGTGTGGTCAGAGGGAATCTCCTGCTGATGGACCATCGCCAGGTAACAGAGGGAGGGGTGACCTGTCTCCACCCCCACTGGCTGCTAGTCTGGGCTATGGACGCCAAGGCATAGTGAGTCCCGATACCTGAAGTGCACTAGGTCATGCCATGTTATTCACTACGGACCCAAACCTAAGAGTGAGATGGCACTACCAAAGGCCTTTAAGGGTTGGTAAAGCAGCCGGATGGCTGTGCTCTGCCATGGGACACACATGGCTCTAGTTCCTGTCATGCAAACCCAGCCAGGAGGATTAGCCTACACATTTCCAGGAGCCTCGCATCATTGCCTGTATCAGCATCTCAGCCAAGAGCTGTGCGTCCGGCCTCAGAGCAAGTGCTGCCTTTTCTATCTCACAGGTCATTCCACTACAGTCTGGTCTACAAGTGGTGGTCAAACTCCAGGGTGGGCTTGGGCTTGACATCTCAGCCAACATGGATGTGAGCATATGGGAGCAGGAACTGAAAACCAGCATCAGCACAAGGTCAGTGGAGGGGGAAAGGTTTGGCTCTGGGATCGCAGGCTACCCCGGAGGGTCTTAACACTCAGCACAAGGGTTGCCCCATCTTAGACTGCTTTGCAACAGTCTCCATGCCCTTCTCCCACTGTGTCCAACCATGCCTCTGCTAAGGGAGAGTGGAGATGGGGGGGTAGGGAGCTGGTGGGCAATGATTACACACTTTCTTTCACCAGGGGGACTTAAAATAGAGGCGATCACGGGCTTGCAGAGCGCCAGTGCAGGGTGTCCAGGTACAGCACCGTGCCCGGCGCCTGGACCTGCGCTCTTTGCTCTTGCAGAGGAAGTTTAGCCATCGATTTCCAGGCAGAACTAGATGCCCCTTCCTTCCAAGCCACCGTGAGAAGCCAGACTGAGATGGAGACCTCAATCCACTTTGACACGGTCCTGCAGTTTTCTGCGAGCCCTGTGCTCATGTGTCTGCAGCTGAGAGAGGACCAGGTCCCATACAGGTAAGCTCTGGAG